CGGCGGAGGGATGCATGGCTCACCCTCTTGGTCGGAGTTGTCGGGGTCAGGAGGAGACGCGGCCAAACCAGAGGTAGAACAACTGCCAGTGGGCCACGAGGTTGAGGAGGTGAAGATCCCCTGCCCTGGTGAGGTAGGCACCGGGGTGGAGCCACCGGTCATCCCGCCATCGCAAGAGCTAGCAGTGGTCCGGTCATCGGCTGGGCCTTCCAGCGGGTTGGGGGCGACCACCTACCAGGTGTGGCCCCGCCCCGACGACCCGAGGAAGGTTCGGTTCATCCTTCGAGATGAGGAGGAGGTGCAACTGTGGGATGTACTTGGGGGGAGAGGACTCACGATGGAGTCCGATCTCGCCCAAACCAGGGCAAGGCTCGAGGAGGCCTTGGAGCGGGTCAAGATAGTCCATCAGGCGGTTACGTTTGACCTACCCCGCATCGTAGAGGTAAGTTTTCTATGTTCGTCCTTGACTCCTTGGTCTTTCGCTGGTTGCCTCACCACGCTTGCTTCTCATTTTGCAGGGTCTGGAGGAGATGTTAAGCCACAAGTCTCATTTCCTCTGGGAGGAGCACGCTCTGGAGTCCACGATGTCGCGGTGGGTCACCGAGCTTGAGCGCTAGCTGGAGTCCGCCCGCCATAAGTCTCAAGACCGGGTGGCCGTCGTGACGAAAGCGCGGGCGGCGGAACTGCTCGTGGTGGAGCGGGCGACCACCGCTGAGTGGGGACTTGATGCGACGAAGGTCCACCAGGCGGAGACCGAGGCGGCGCTCTAGAAGTCCCTGGCGGAGACTGAGGTGGCGCTCTAGAGTTCCCTAGAGGTTCTGGAGTCAGAGCGAAAGGCCTGATCGGAGGTCGACAGGAAGTGCTCGCGCTCCAGGGGCAGGTGCTGGGGACAAAGGAGTCGAATGCTCGGCTGTGCAAGCAGGTGACTCGACAGGAGGAAGGACTCTCCATCCTTGAGAACACTCGCCTTAGTATGTACCTGTTCTACTTTTGGTTGATGTCTTGCTTTTCCTTTCCCTTGCTTCTAAGCCTGTCATCCTTCTTTCAGAACTGGGCGAAAGGGTTGGGTCGCTGGAGCGGGAGCTGGAGACGGCCAAGGCAACGATTGATCGAAATGCGGAGGTGCTGGCCAAGTCCCTTGAAGAGCGATGTGCTCTCGAGGGGGAGCTCGACTAGATCCGCAACATCGCCCAGGTCATCGTCTCGGAAGTGTTCGGGTCAGCGCCGAGCACCAGCACGCCCGCTATCCGACCGGCGGAGGTCTCGGACGAAGTTTGGGTGCTTATCTCCAATGGGATGTTCTACAGGACGTCGGGGGTGCTGACTTTGGTGGCGACGCACCACCCGGACCTAGACTTTGCCGCCATCTACAGCAAGTACGCCGATGGCTGGAGCCTGGACGCCATCCATGCGCTCGGGGAAAGCTTGCTGCCATACGCACAGTTGGTGGCAGAGCAAGTCTTCGCGCAATGGGTGATGGAGGCTCACCATGCGAGCGCGGCTGAAGGCGCATGCCAGGAGGACGTTGCCCAGCCTGTGGATGGACTGGAGCCCAGGTCAGAAGCGAACGTCGCCCCGCCTCCGACCGAGCCGAACGTCGTCCTGTCGGAGACCGAGCGGCCCTTATCTTCGCTGGTTGAGACGGTAGCCGATGCCGCTAGGCCGCCGCAGTAGTATTTAGAGTAGAAAAAACAGTCAATATATGTAAGGGATAAGTTCATGAGGGAGTCTCCTATGTAAACATTTTTGTATCCATAAATACATCAACTTCGTTTTCTGATGGAATCACTTCATAAGGGGAAGCTTGTCCCCTCCGTTCCTTATTTTTATCCTAGCATAACTTTGTTTTTTATTCTTTCTTTTCCGCACCTGTCCGTTTGAACTGTAGGCTACAACCTTAAGAACCTGGGCATGGCCTGCGAGGCTCAGCTGCTAGTAACCGTAGGTCGTGGCGGGGTGTGATCGGTCGGAATGTTTAAAGCAAAGTTACGTAAGGTAATTAAAGGAATGGACTACCCTTTCGTTCGGGTAAAAATGTATTTACTATATGATAGTAAAAAAGAAAGGTGGTATCGCAACCTCGTGGTGCCCCCGAGCAACTCGGGCCGAAAGTGTTCGGGCCGGGGTGCTTTGTAGGAGCAAACGTTGAATGAAAGAAAACGGTAAGACCGAATTTTTAAGGGAAGAAACGACGTACCCTCACCGCTCCGTCCTTCTGCTAGGTTTAAGTCTTAGGGTTCGGGTTTGGCTGGACCCACTGTTCATCTTCCCTGCCTACTCTACGCAGATTAGGGTTAGGGTTTGAGTTCATCTCGAAATCGAGACCCCTTTCCTCTTTCTTTTCTTCACCCGATTAGGGTTAGGATTCGTGTCCGGGTCGATCCGAATCGAGCCGAATCGAGCCCTCTTTCTTCTGTTGTTCTATCCGAATTGGATCTTTTTCATCTACTTCTAAATTGCTGCTACCTTTAACTAGATCTACAAACTAGCAACCTTGGCTCTGGTACCATTGTAGGAATCAAAAACTCTTCTAGGTGTAGATCAGTGAGTAGAACTTAGCTTAATGCATGAATCGGGAGAGGGAGACTTGGTGATGTACTTCATTATACGTAGCCACGGCCATGGTGCCATAGCGACGTGGCCACTGGAGTCATAGTAGCAGTGTAGTGATGGTGCGCGATGACGAGGCGAAGTGCAGTGGCCCGGTGGTGGCACTGCAGAGGCGACGTTGAAGTCGACGGCGGCTTCCCGTCACTGGCAACACCTCTCTTTAGATTGGGTTAGAGTTGGGATAAAGGTGGGGTGTCTGGCGGCTAAGGGGAACCTCTACCGTGTGCCCCGGCCCCCACCTCCCTTTTATAATGCTGTGCGACGAGGGCTCACCAACTATAGAGCGGTTGGACGCCCCCGATCAGGACGTGGACCCAAAGACCCAACTAACACGCCGTCTTAGTGGAGATCAAACTAACACGCCGTCCTCCGGGATGATGCCCGGCTTGAACATCGCGCGGACCTCGTGGCCTCGGAAAGCGACGGTGGTCGGGAAGGGCACGTAGTCGGGGACAGCGGTGAGGTGCTCCAACTTGGTCTTCGCGCGCTCCACGCGACCCATGAGCGCCCCCGGGGGGCCGAAGAAGCCAAGCGACGCGGCGCCCATGATGCTCAGGAACGCGCATGGCACGCCGTGCCTCGCGGCGGCCGCGGGCGCCCAGTACGCCGCGTAGTCAATAAGCACCCAGTCAGGCCTGGACGGCTCCGGCCCCTGCAGGATCTCTGAAAGCTTGGCAGAGAATGAGGCGTCGTAAGCTCGGCGCAGGCACGGCCGCAGATCGTCGGAGCGGAGGTCGATGGTCGCCTCGGCGTCCTCCGGCAAGCGCTCAACGCGAGGCGGGGGGACGTCCACGACATGGACGAGGCCACCAAGATCCGGAGGGATGTCAATGAGCCGACGGGTGTTCCTCGGCGTCGAGAGCAGAGTGACCTGGTGGCCTTGCAGAGCTATGCGCCTCGCGAGCTCCGTGAAGGGGAGGATGTGGCCGACGGCCAGCCATGGCACCATCACGAAGCGCATGCTGCTGCCGCTGGTGGCGTCCATGGTAATGAAAAGCAGAGTTTGTTCAAGAAGAATTTTGAAGCCTTCTAGTTTCGTGGCCAAATGGACCGGCCGCCGAGCGTATAAACGGTATGGCTGTGCCATGGATGATGACGATCCGTTTTGAGTTTTTTACTGACCCAGTAGAACAATCACCGCACGCCGATGAAACATTGTGAATAAAGTAACTAGTCCTACTCCGTAGTTACTGTGATCTTGCAGGCTCAGAATCTGAAGACAGTGTGAGCCTCAGATCTACTAGATCAATCACTGTGATTCCTTTGTTTGACTTGATGTAGATCTGTCTAACATGGCCACTTGTGCGTTCTTCTTATGAGAAATGAATCCTATAAAGCCTATTTGTACGTTTTTCTTGTGGAAATCTATATCTATCTATCTATGCAGTCCTTATATTACTATACTTTGCTGATTTTTTATTCTAACGAGGATGAATATATATTCTCTAGTCAAGGTATGCTAAATACAATTAAAATATATTCGCATCTTTATATTACTATACTTTGCTGATTTTTTTATTCTACTATGTAATGTACGGGCACATCTGCTATAAAGCTTCACATTAGCTCAAGCCATCCGTTCGCTAGTAACATAGCGGGGATTTTTGTATTTTAATCCTTTTTAAATCTTATTATTTAAAAATAATTAGTGACAACTTTTATTTTTATTTGAGGCCTTTTGGTTTCGGGTCGTGTCAATTTTTTTTTTACTAGCAAATATGTAAAATGCGTTGCAACAGAAGAAGAAAATAATCAAATATTTATAAAAATAATAACGGGGATATTGCATATCTATTTATATTTTACCATCTTCATAAATTTTAAAACCTATAATTTCTTATGTCCATGCATACATAATAAGTTTGCATTAGCAATAATATATGACAATGTCCTACTCCTTAAGTATATATCGAAATAAAATATCAAGTTCAGAACTTACTGTGGATTGCACTGCTATATATACGCAGCGGCGTTGTTGGTGTAGGAGCCGTTGATGATGGCGCTCCTAGTAATCCTGACGTGGCCCAGCGACAACTCCATTAATGGACGAAGGCTCCCGGCAGTCCGGCACCCGCTCATCTATGCACGTTTGTCTTGTTGGCTTGTCAGGCTCGCCCTCGTAGGCTGATGTAGTCATGTAGATGGTGGCCGTCATGCGCTGACCATAGACGTAGATGGATCACTCGAAGTCGATGACCACCAAGCATGACTTTCATCACGGTTGGTTGCCTCTGGCCACGGTGACGACCGCGATCACCACGTAACCCAACTCAACGATGCACCGGGCAACACAACATGGGCGCTGGCTCCGGCTAGCTCACGTACCAGTCTTCACCACACATATATGTACCTGCTAAACAAAGAAAGACGAGATAAGAGGTTAGCTGCCCATGGTGGCTGGCCAGCCTGCCCTCCATGAGGCTCCATCTCCTTGCTTGCTTCTTGTCTTTCATAGATTACCTTTGTTGATGCAGCCTATGCGCGTACGTTCTTCTGGTGGCCGGGTGTTGATCAGCCTCCCTCTGTTTCTCGTAGATACACAGCACCTTGTGGCAGGCTATTGCAGCGTAGCGATGCTGCTGCGGGGCTGCCGTTGAGAGCCGCGCGGCGCGCGCTGGGTATAGCCAGGTTCCGGTACAGCCGGAGCGCGGTGCCTTGCGTTGCTGTTACGATCCTTTTCTCTAGGTCTCCTCCTCGGTCCTGGTGCCGCCGGGCAGTGTACGTGCGTTGATCTTATTCTCCTTGGCGGCGTGCAGGTGCGGGCGTGCAACCGCTTCGGTCATCCCTCCGTCGATCCGCTCCGAGCCTCTGCATGGCGCCCTGGTGACGGCAACTGTCTTTCTCTGTGATCCAATCGGACAGGCGTTTTATGGGCTCTGCCACATGCGACTACGAGGCAGAGATTGCCGTTTTGTTCTCATATTTATTTGGGTTTTGCTGGATCTATGTTGTATCTCTATTCTTTTCTTTATGTGTGTGTTTCTGTCTTGGTCTAATCGCTTCAACTCTTATCCGTTTCTGTCTTGGACTCTTGATCTCACGTTTCCAAGTCAAACAACGACTTAGGCTTGGGTCTCGGATCAGTCCGTGGTGGATTCGATTTGGGCAAAAAAATCCTTGCCGCTAAAATCGATCTGTTTTAGTCTCAAATTCATTGTCAAACCACCATCCGCACAGGTATTAGTTAAGGGATAGCCGGACCAAAAAAATAGGTGGAGAGAAATTTTACCTCTTTATTATTAGGTATAGATTGTTTTTATTTCTAACACTTTTGATTCAATGTCTATGACGCGACAGGAAAATGTTGTCGTGGAACCTGTGAATCCCATTTAGAAAGGTTGTCGCACGGCTTCTTTGGTGCGATAACTTTATTTTGCCGCGCCACCCAAACTGACATGGTAAGATACAAAATCTTAAGGTTATATAAGTTTATACAAAAAAGTACCAATATCTAAGACATGAAATAAGTATTATTATATTTATAATTAAATATGGCTTCATAGTCGCTAATCTTCTTTTATCAATTTTGTTAAACAAAAAAGTTTTGACAACAAAACCAGAATGTTACTTTTTGCAAGACGGAAGTAGTCAGATGGTAAGATATATAGGATATTTACCATTAGATTTTAAGTTTGTTAATTTCCCATAATATATAGGACTTTTAACATTAATTTTTAGTTTGCTAATTTTCGTGAAGTACTAAATGGATTTTTTTTTTTTGTTATCGGCATGGATGGCCATAAAAGTCCTCCACTTCACAATATTGGCCATCCAAAGGCGTTGCAAAAACTTTAAATTTCTTGTAGAGGCAATTTTTCTAGATAAAGAAATATAATATTTCAGCCTCCAACGTCACAATCGAATGAGTACTCCCCTTTCATAGTTGATGATGTTTTGAATCTAGGCACAGAAATTAAAGAGGGGCAAAAAAAGGTGTAGTGCACACAAAACAAAAATGGTAGAAATAGAGATGTATTGAAAAAAAAGAAAAAGTACATTAAATAGTGACAATGCAACTAATTTAGGACGGAGAGAGTAGACCACACTCCATCATACGGGCACGGTGATACAAAGTGAAGACATAAAGTAAAGGAACATGTGCTTAATTTGTCGTTGAAACTTTGTATTAATTTTAAGTAACTTAGCGACTTCAAATAAAATACTCAAAACTAGAAAGTTACCGGTATCCTTGGGAGCTACAATTTACAAAAAAAACATCTTCATCCAACGCTTATGAAAACCGATGATTCTTCTTAGGATTTGCTTGAGAGATAAAAGAAGCTTTCTTGATTCGAGTACTACCTTCATCCCTGAAAGAGTGTTATTCTAGATTTAGAATAACTCAAATATTTTAAGTTTAATTAGATTTAGAAGCTTTGTTCTTAGGATTTACTTTTGCCTTTGCTTCGTTTGGCTTCCTCGCTCCCTGGTCCCTTTATCATCAGTTCACCCCCAGACCCCCACCCAAAACCCTAGCCGCCGCCGCCGCCGGCTGAGGACATGTATCCACCGCTCGGAGACGAATAGGTTGTGTGATACGAGTGGGAGAAAGCTTCTTCAGCACGTGCTGACCTCTCCGCCGCGCCGGCATGGAGGAGAGGCCATAGATCGCCGGAACGCGCCTCCGCCGCCGGAGATAGATGAGAGCTCCCAGGGTCTACATCTCCCAGAGGACATCCGCTGGGAGCGGCTCGACAAGGCGCGCTTCTTTGTCGTGGGCGCCGGACTCTTCTCCGCCGTCTCGGCCGCGCTCTACCCCGCTGTTGTCCTCAAGACGCGCCTCCAAGTCGCCCCTGCGCCGGCGGCGGCTGGGACGGCAGCGCCCCCGCCCTCCGCCGCGGCGGCGGCGACTGCCATCCTGCGCCAGGAGGGGCCCCTCGCCTTCTACCGCGGCTTCGCCACCTTCCTCGCCGGCACCATCCCGGCGCGCGCGCTCTACATGGGCGCGCTCGAGGCCACGCGCTCCGCCGTCGGCCCAGCCGCGCTCAGCCTCGGCGCCGCGGAGCCCGCTGCGTCGGCGGCAGCGGGCGCAGTGGCGGGCCTCGCCGCCGCCGTCGCCGCGCAGGTCGTGTGGACGCCCGTCGACGTCATCAGCCAGCGCCTCATGGTTCAGGGCAACCCCTGCCCTGCCTCCCGCTACCACGGCGGCCTGGACGCCTTCCGCAAGATCGTGGCGTCTGACGGGCTACGCGGCCTGTACCGTGGGTTCGGCATGTCCATCCTAACCTACGACCCCTCCAATGCTGTGTGGTGGGCAACTTATTCGCTGTCACAGAAATAATTTGGAGTGGAATTGGCTGCTACTTGTGCGACTATGGTGTTGGTGTCCAGGAAATTGATCTCGGTGATGGGGATTCTTTGCTGCAGCCAGGTTGCAAGACTGTCATGGTAGTTCAGGGAGTGAGTGCCGCGATGGCCGGTGGTGCATCTGCGTTTGTGACCATGCCACTGGACACCATCAAAACCAGGATGCAAGTCATGGATGGGGACGGTGAGCCGATTACCATGGGGAGGACAGTGCGTAGGCTGATCAAGGAAGGTGGGTTGGCTGCTTGTTACAGGGGCCTAGGCCCGAGGTGGGCGTCCATGTTATTGTCTGCCACCACCATGATCACCACCTATGAGTTCCTCAAGCGGCTCTCAGACAAGGGCCAGGAGAGCGATCTTGCATGATGTTTGATAACCAGTATAGACAACAAGTAATCAGGTGCATTTGCTTTGTTTCTTTATTGTTTCATTTCCAACACATGATATGTTATGTGTTGAAAAAAAAATGGTGGGCGAATGTTTGTAGATAATCTTTGTTTGCTCCTCTAATCAAGTTTTCCAAAGCAATGCAATTTACGTCGGTTGTATATTGTAGTTCTCTTGTCATGTTTTTCTAGTTGCATTTCTTGGCATCAAATTGGTGGTTATGTCTTGGTCTGATTCAGTTATGCTTACTCGAATCTTTATTTGTGCTGAACCATTGATGTTTCTAATACAGTTGTTGTTAAGTGCCTTTGGACTGCTGTGGACGCTAAGAATGTTGTCCATGCCCCATGTTAAGTAGAACATTGTCATGTTTGCTTAGGATGTCTGTAAATTTGCTTAGGCTGTGGATGCCTTTGGACTGCCTATGCATGATGGCAAATATTGTACTTCTGATTCTAGTATAAATGGTATGTGTTTTCACTGTTTATACTATTCGATGACACCAAGCATCGGATGGGCTGTCAATTATTTTGTCTCTATTCTGGTTCTGGTTCTCAACCAGGTTCATGACAGGATCTGAATATGCTTGATAGACATTAAGACTAGTTTACAGTGTAGCGAGATGCTTCTGCAGCTTGCAAGCAAGTGAAATCGATATGTTATATATGAGTTGTACACAAGGGTGCAGTTTGAACTATTGGAACGGAGTCCTGGAAACATGCACTTGTGTCATTTTACCCTTATTTATTATTCTTATTCCACCTCATTCAGTTCGTGATTGGAGAAGGTGGCAAATTTAGGTAGCTGGTTTAAGATTATTTTTTGTTGGAATTTTAAAAATTATAGATGATGTTTCAACTAATTGCACTATGCAACTGTCTTTGGTTGGAAATTCACAGCAATAATTGCCTAAATTATTTCTTTGAGATAATAATGACCCACTTATTATGCTTTGTTTATGATATCATTCTCTTCATGCTGGATTGGTTGAAGTTCGGTGGTAAGTCTTTCCCGTTGTTCTTTTGTTGTTAGAGCGCCAAACATTGTCTTCTACCACCATCTTGTGTGTTGGATAAGACGCACTCTTTAACTCAAATCATTGTCTCGTGCTTCTGGAGTTTATAATTTATATTGGCAGCCAACCTAGATTGTGGAAGATGGTTTGTAGATTGTCGATAGTAAAAACCCATTTGTAAAATAAGGGGTGCTGTTTAGATCCCCGATTAACTTCATGCCTGATCTGTCATTTATGCCTGTGAGCGAGTTTTGATTGAGAAATGGATACATTATCCGGTTCCAGTTGTTGCTAAAAGTATGTCTGTGACTGTGAGCCCAGTTTTGAGTGAGAAATGGATGCATTATCCGGTTCCAGTTGTTGCTAAAAGTTTGGGGGAGACAAAATTACAATTATACCCAACCTTTGTACATCATCCCAAACTGAAAATTGCCATTATACGAAACCTTTGTACCTCATCTTTCAAGCGTGAGGCACCGCCCCATTCATCTTTCAAACGTCCGAGGCATCGCCCCATCATCCAAGCAAGGACAGTTGATGATATGCAGCCTGTTCGTTTGGTTGTGGCTCGTTATAAACGATCGTAAATTTTCAGCCGAAATAGTATTTTTCTCTCACACAAACCAGCCAGCAGTACTTTTTTACGAATCAGCCAACTGAACAGGCTGATGTTGTGTCCCCTGTACTAACATTGCAGAACTATCGTGAAATTTGAAGGCAAAAGTAGCTTTCAGGTACAAAGTGAAAAGAGCCATGAGTGCTCGAATTTAGAATTCAATGAAAATCTCAAAACCAAGTCTCAAAACATGTGGTTCTTGGTAAAAGACAGCGACTGCAGTGGAAGAAGAAACTATGCCACTGAGGGATCGCAGAGCTAACTTTATCTGCCATGGCACTTGGTGAGGATTAGCCTGCCAAAGTCCCAAAGTGATTCGCTTAATTAGGACAGGGAAACACCAGTGGTTAGTGTGTGGATCGCTGAAGTTCTATATTAGCCATTTGGCATTTGTTGGATGGTGAAAGGTCACTACCAGTCTACCACAAGTCATGAGGTTGCACAAGAGAAGCAGAATCGGCCATGTAAAAGAGCCTGCAAAGGAGGCAATGGAAAACGATGACCGGGATTGCATATGCCGACGAGGGCAACAACTAAAACTTCCCTAAACTTTTGCTCGTTTGTGCGTTCACTCTAGTCATAATCAACCCGTCACAATGAGTTGGGGCACTCAGTACCAACTTGTCTGTTCATAAATGTGCTGTCTGGAAGAGCTCTACAGTAAGACAGCGACAACAGCAAAATAGTGCACACAACACAAGCATGCTATTTTGTCCTATGGGAAACAAGTAGATATACATCATTAATGAAAAACGAGAGACACCTTTGATTGCTGGAAAGCGGAAACTATAAGGTTCAGTAGTGAAAGACGTACATTATTTTTTCCTAAGCTAGACACCCTTTGAGCTAAATGAGTTGCTCACGCATTTCCTGTTCAAAACTGACGAAAAAACGGCAAAAAGATTGAACGAAATGTAAAATACCGGAAACGGGACCTCTTAGGTTAGCAAAACATCGAATGAAGCTGGAAATGCATGTAGAAGTGTTAGTGCCAGATGTACAAGCATGGATAATCAGCTCAACTGAAGGAGAAGCTTTTTGTGCTTCTAATGCTGATAGTGTGGGGCGTTTCTTCTCAGAGGTATTGTTCGTGTATCCTCGCTCGGTTCTCTTCCCACCATAGCCTGGCATGCATCTCGCTGAATTTCTCCCGGCTGCAAGCACAAGGGTCATGTAAACAATCGTGTATCTACTGCAATCTTGTATAATTCTATTTAAGCGTAGGCTTAGGTGCCTTCTCTGATTTTAAGTTACTCATGTTGTACACTGCAAGTTTATCATAAGAGCAAGCTAGTGGAAAGAACCCTGAAGCATCATGGGACACAAACCTGAACCGAACACGGCGAAGCTCTCTGATCCCACCAGGTAAAGCCCGGATTGTAATATATACACCAGGCTCGTCTTCTTCGACCCACTCCCTCTCCTGGTCGCTTGCATTGCTGATGGACACGGAGAGCTCACCAGACCTGTCGACCTCTTCCGGTGACGAGCTTGTCCTCATTGATGCGTCCATGGATGAGGTTTCTGTCTTGGCTCCACTGATACTTGACAACTTTGGTGTTGATGCCAGGCCCATTGAATCACAGCATTGGTGTCCATGATGGTGGTGGTGGGCAGTACTGTAGTGGTTTGAGTGATGCTCGAGAGAATCTGATGAAGAGTAGCCCATCGCTCCACCACCTTGTCCGTGGAAAGTGCGAGGTAGCGGTTCCTTGTCCAGTGGTGGTGTTACTGGGCTGTCCTCCTTGGAGCTCTAAAGGAAGAAGAAAATGCCGTGGAACAAAGTATCAGTTATAAAACAAAATATATCTGTAGTTACTGATACAGATAGAAAGAATATTATGCGTTGAACTGGGGTGTAGTCCCTTAAATTACTAAAAAGCAGATAAATAAACTGAGCGTCCTCACCTCATCTTCAGATTTTGGGGTTGTCGGGAGAGGGACAGTTTGATTAAACCTCTGGACATTGTAAAGTTCCATAACTTTGTCATAATTTTCAGCCCACCATCTTTGTGCTTGCCATTTGTTGAACATCTCACGGCTAGCATACACCGTTACATGCAAAAGAGCAGATAACCACATGGTTATTCAAAGAACTGCTACATAAATAGATATAAGCAAGCATGTGCATCCATATCTGAAACTGATGCTCTCCTATGCATCAGTTTTCACACCTCATAAACCCTAATGCATTCTGCAAAAATAGTTGTAAGTGGCCAATTTATATTTGACTCCTATAAATACAACGAGAAAGTATGAAAATTGCACCATAGGTCCCTGAACTTACATAGTTGTCTCATCTAATCCAATCCCCTACACATGGAAAGGGGAGGGCTAGGTGAAACACGTGCAGGTTCAAGGGGGCTCTGGAAGTAAACTGCAAGCTTGAGGAGGCTAGGTGAGACAATCAATCAAAAAGTTTAGGGGCATGTGTATCTTTGACAGTGATAGGAGAAGTTATTGATTCTCCATATTCATGAAACCTAGATTTCTTCAAAATATTAAATATAGAACTGATGGAGAACTAAATACAGTTCCCAAAACATCTGCCATCATTTAGAATGGAAAACTACATGGTTGAAATTTCCCTATAAAGTGGAGGACAAACTATGAAGCTAACAGTAATGATCTAGAGGGCAATGGGAGATGAATGTGGTTTCCATGCCCCTAGAGTCACAACAAAGCCCTGCAATCAACTGGGAATGGGGAGCTTGGTACAGTGCATCCTGTGACAACATTGGCTGTCAAACCAACGTTACCAAACCTAGCCAGTGATCCACAGAATGAAAGAACTCCACATCCAATGTCTCCTTCCTTCAGATCTAGAACCAATATGATAAAAACAAGACACTTGCACTCATCTTAAGATCCAGTTTGTATTCAACTTATAAAATAAATTATATACATTATATATAATACTAGTGGGGACCAATGAGCATAGCTGGCCATGAGGAACTCCTCTCGAGAATCTAATTATAAAATTACTGCTACACTCAGTAGATCAATCTTAAAACGACCATTCTAAACTCAATCTGAACACTACAAATTTACAGTGAGCATATTCTTAAATATGCAGACTATCTTTTATAGTATCCAGACTAAGTTTACAATAATGGTTTGTAAGATCCACTAATGTCACTAAAACCATTACTTCGACTAGGATATCCATCCATATAACTGGAAAAACGCTGCCAAACAGCATCCAAGTTGGACAGGTCCCTTGCTAATCTGTTGTGGAGAAACAAAAAGCCAAATGGAAAAGAGTAGAAAGCAGACATTTGTCTGTTCTGCTTCTTCCTTCCCATTTAACTTCTGATTGACCACACAGAAGAAATGCGGGCTGTGGGC